GCCCTGCTTGTCTGGGGTGCACCTATAGCAGCTGCAGAAGAGCGAGGGATGCTACCAGTTTCTTTTTATGCTATCTTTGTCCCAGAATGATGCCTGCCAAATGTCAGTCTTTTGGATATAGAGGGTCAGGGAGCTGATTGAGGAGACAGTCTGTACTTTGTAGGAGCTCAAGTGCTGAGCTATGAGCTCTGTTCTTCATTCAGGGCTGTTAGGCTGCTATGTTTAATTCTGCTGCAACATAACTCATAAAAAACCCCCTTTTTTCTCAGATGCTCTGTCTGGTGGGGGGGTTGGGGCTTTCCTTGTGAGTGTCACCCTCGCTGTCCTGCCCAGCTAGGAGGCAGTCTAGTCACTATTTGCCTGCCGAGGCTCCGCCCTGCTGGTGTAAGGTTCACCCTGTTGCTGCAGGCTCTGCCCTTCTGCTGCGGTCTCCACCCTGTTGCCACAGGCTACACCCTGTGGCGGAGTCTCTCTGTTGTACCGGGTTGCCCCGACAACGGCAGGCTGTGTCAGCAATGGGTGTGTACCTCAGTAGGGGCTGATTGCCTCGGTAATGGCAGACGCCCCTCCCCCACGGAGCTGTGCTTTAAGAAAACCTCCTCACCGGGAGCGTTTGGAATCGCCATTTTGTTTGTCACACTGCCCTACCCCAAACACTGTGTTCCTGGGGTTTCCTGGGCTGGCTCACAGTCCAAGTCCCGTTCAGTCTCGAGTTCAGCCCTCTCTGGTCTCAGTTTGCTGGTTCAACAGGGCACCCGTAACAGTGCGCTTTTGTATGGAGCGCTGTGGAGTGCCTCTGTGCTCCGGTGTGGGCCAGTGCTGCACCGGCTGCCAGCTACACCAGCCAAGACCTCTGCCTGGCATCCCGCGTCTCTTTTATACCTGGGAATTTCCCCATTCTGTGGGCAACTAAAATCCATCTGGAAATGCATCCCCGACTCACCCTCTCCGTACATCCAGCGAGAACTTCAATCCTGGGTTGTTCTCACAGCGCCATCTTGAGTCCTCCAAAACTCATCATTTTTTATGGCTGCATAGTATTCCATGGTGTATATGTGCCACAATTTCTTTGTCCAGTCTGTCATGGATGGGCATTTGGGTTTGCTCCAAGTCTTCACTATTGAAAACAGTGCTGCAGCGAACATATGTGTGCATGAGTCTTTATAATAGAATGATATATAATCCTTTGGGTGTACACCCAGTAACAGGATTGCTGGGTCAAATGGAGTTTCTATTTCTAGGTCCTCGAGGAATTGCCACAATGTCTTCTACAATGGCTGAACTAATTTACACTCCCAACAACAGTGTAAAAGTGTTCCTATGTCTCCACTTCCTCCCCAGCATCTGTTGTCTCTTGCTTTTTTAATGATCGCCATTCTTGCTGGGGTAAGATGGTATCTCAATGTGATTTTGATTTGCATTTCTCTAATTACCAGTGATAATGAGCTTTTTTTCATATTCTTTGGCCTCATAAATGTCTTCTTTTGAAAAATGTCTGTTTGTATCTTTTGCCCACATTTGAATGCTTTTTTTTTTTGTAGATTCTGGATATTAACACTTTGTCATATGGCTAGATTGCAAAATTTTTTCCCATTCTGTTGGTTGCCAGTTCACTCTAACAATTGTTTCTTTTGCTGTGTAGAAGCTCTTAAGTTTAGTTAGATCCCATTTATCTATTTTGGCTTTTGTTGCCATTGCTTCTGGTGTTTTAGTCATGAAGTACTTGCCTATGCCTATGTCTTGAATAGTATTGCCTAGGTTTTCTTCTAGGGTTTTTATGGTGTTAGGTTTTATGTTTAAATCTTTAATTCACCTGGAGTTTATTTTTGTGTAAAGTTTAAGGAAGGGATGCAGGTTTAGCTTTCCGCACATGGGTAGCCAGTTTTCCCAACACCATTTGTTGAACAGGAAATCCTTTCCCTATTGTTTGTTTTTGTCAGGTTTTTCAAAGATCAGATGGTTGTAGATGTGTGGCATTACTTCCAAAGCCTCTGTTCTGTTCCATTGGTCTATATCTCTGTTTTGGTACCAGTACCATGCTGTTTTGATTACAGTAGCCTTTTAGTATAGTTTAAAGTCAGATAGCATGATGCCTTCAGCTTTGCTCCTTTTGCTTAGGATTGTCTTGACTGTGCAGTCTCTCTTTTGGTTTCATATGAAGTTTAAAGTGTTTTTTTTTTCCAGTTCTGTGAAGAAGGTCAATGGTGGCTTGAGGGGGACAGCATTGAATCTATAAATTACTTAGGGCAGTATGGCCATTTTCACGATATTGATTCTTCCTAACAATGAACATGGAATATTTCTCCTTCTGTTTACATCCTCTACTATTTCCTTGAGCAGTGGTTTATAGTTCTCCTTGAAGAAACAAAGCCTTCAAAGTCAGAAAAATTTAAGCTCAGTTTCCTGTCAATTTGGGTACTTCAAAAAGTAGAGTCAAGAAAGGATTATATGTGCAAACAACTTATTGGGTGGAGTGTTTGTGATAAAGATGAGTAAGCAATGTGAGCTTCTGACCACATTTCAGGCATGATATATATGAGAGCAAGGTGGAAGGAGAAAAGAAGAAATCGGTAGGAAGTCTTAGACTCTGGCCTCATTCTAAAGAAAATTTGTACGCCTGCTGGAAAGTCTTTTGTTACGTGATTTCCATATACTGCAGTAATGGCCCTATACTAATATCCTGGACCATGCCCAATTATGAACTGGGAGAAAGCTGGAGGGAAGGGAGGCATTATTGAAAACATAGTGGTGCATCTGGTAGGACAGTCAATCAATGCTTTTTCCCAGAAAAGAATATCATCGTGGCATATCTTTTTTTTTTTTTTTTTTTTTGAGACAGAGTTTCGCTCTTGTCACCAAGGCTGGAGTGCAATGACATGATCTTGGCTCACTGCAACCTCCACCTCCTGGGTTCAGGCAGGCAATTCTCCTGCCTCAGCCTCCTGAGTAGCTAGGATTACAGTCATGTGCCACCATGCCCAGCTAATTTCTTGTATTTTTAGTACAGACGGGGTTTCACCATGTTGACCAGAATGGTCTTGATCTCTTGACCTCGTGATCCACCCACCTCGGCCTCCCAAAGTGCTGGGATTACAGGCATGAGCCATCGCACCTGGCCCCATAGTGTTATATCTTTATAGTTCCAAATTAGTATATTTTAATTTGTACTATCAACAAGTTGAGTCATCGAAAAATAAGTTATACCTTAAATATCTTTTCCTGTTTTAAGACTTTAAGTTCCCTCTGGATATGAAATATGGCTTGTTACTCTTTTCTCAATGCCTCATATATAGATGCTTTAAAATACTTGAGATTAAGTCTCCCCACTCAAAATAAACCCAGACCAAGGGTTAACAGTTTATACAAACATCTTGATAACCTAGTGGTAGGAGAAAACTACCTAACATAACAGACTCAGGTAGAAGACCATAGTCCGTGATAATCTTGGAGTTTGTATAAATATAATTTTCAAAAGAGTAAAATTATAATTCTCCCAGAAATATAGACATGGCAAAAATTTTATTCAATTTATTAATAGATAAGGAAACCAGTAGAAATTTATAACTGGTTCAAAAAGTATCTGAGAAACTCGCATATTTTAAAAGGAGAAAATTGCTGAGTTAGAATCAAAACCAATTAAAAGAGCCATAAGCCTTTGGGGTTGTATGTTTCACACAGAAATCATGTATATCTTTATCATAAAAAGTCTATAAGTTATCAAGTAATTTTACCAAGTTTAGGACATTTAACAATGAGTAAAATTTAAGAACTTTATATATTCCTTACATAACTTTTGAATAGCTGCTGCCCCTACATTTCTTTTAATGGACATGCTTCCAATCTTATTTTGCCTTATTTAGAAATTTTTAATCCATTTTATGGCATATTGGGATTATAGGTCTAACAGTTAAATTGTTCCATGAAAACACTATAAAAATCCAAGACAGCTATTTAACTTTAACCCTCTCAAATATTCATTTTAGTTGTATGTTAATACATGGGCAATTTCTTATTGTATAGATCCCCAAGATTTTATATATATGAGGAAAATATTTGACTCTTATTTGGGAAAAATGCTAATACATAAAATAGAAGCTTTGGTTTGGTAAGCAGGCTAAATTGGGTTCTAATTCAATTTACTGTCTTTATTAGCTTATGACTTCGGGCACAGTATTATCTTCCCTTATCTTCACAAATGGCTTATCTATTTCTAAGCTTTGTGTTGATGGTTAATTAAATAATAAATATATGAAATATTTCTTACATATGTGAAGTTTATGACATGGTACTTGACACATATATAGTACCCCAGAAATGTTACACATTAAAATTAACCACCATGGTAAGCCTAGTTTGAGTTTTGTTTAAGATTATGGTGCATAATAAAAATATGTGTGATCTTATATGCAGTGTATTCATGATCATTTTTAAAACCAAAGTTTAGTACTTCTGAGAACATATTATCTGACTGTCTAGTACATTCTGTGCAATCACTTATCAATGATAAAAAGCATAATAGTCAAATGATTTCCCAACAAGAACTCATTAGCTAATAGAAATGATTAGGTAATGACATAAGTTATTGCAACAATTTCTGTATACCAATTAGAATATAGAAGGTGATGTATTTTTTGCTATCATCTTTACTTTTATTGGGGAGATACTAAATATTATAATGTTTATATAGAATATTTCTATTTCAAAATATTCTAAGTTAGAATAACATTCTCTTAATATTTCTAAGAGAAGAAAAATAGACTCAAATATTGAGCCTGTTATATAATAATTCTGATATTGTTTGCTCTGTGTCTCACATGGCAGAAGGGCCATGTTGGATTGTTATTCTCACATATCAGAGGAGAGACCTGGTGGGAGGTGACTGGATAGGGGGTCAGTCTCCTCCATGCTATTCTTGTGATAGTGAGTGAGTGCTCATGAGATCTGATGGTTTAAAAGTGTGCGGCACTTCCTCCTCACTCTCTCTCTCTCTCTCGCCACAGTGTGAAGACTCTTCCTGCTTTCCCTTCACCTTTTGCCATGAATGTAAATTTCCTAAGTCCTCCCAGTCATGCTTCCTGTTAAACCCGTGGAACGGTGAGTCAATTAATTCACTTTTTTTCCCATAAATTACCTAGTCTCTGGTAGCTCTTAATAGTAGTGCATGAATGGATTAATACAGAAAATTGGTGCCAGGGAGAGTGGGGTACCACTATAAAGATACCTGAAAATATGGATGTAATTTTGAAACCTGATAAAGAGCATAATTTGGAACAATTTGGAGAGCTCAGAAGAAGACAGGAAAATGTGGAGAAGTTTGGAACTTCCTAAAAACTTGTTGAATGGTGTTGACCAAAATGCTGATAGTGATTTGGGCAATGAAGTCCAGGCTGAGGTGGTCTCAGATGGAGATGAGGAACTTATTGGGAACTGGCATAAAGGTCACTCTTGCTATACTTTAGTAAACACACTGGTGGCATTGTGCTCCTACTCGGGTTCTGTGGAACTTTGAACTGGAGAGAGATGATTTAGGACAGGGGTCTCCAACTTCTTAGGCCATGGAGTGGCCTTTTAGGAAGTAAACCACACAGCAGGTGATCAGAGGTGAGTGAATGAAGATTCATCCATATTTACAGCCACTCCTCATTGCTCGGAATACTGCCTGAGTGCCACCTCATGTCAGATTAGATTATCATAGGATTGTGAACCCTACTGTGAACTGCACATGAGAGGGATATAGGTTGCATAATCCTTATGAGAATCTAGAGACTCATGGTCTGATGTGGAAGAGTTACTACCCCACAACCTCCCCACGAGCCCTGGTTCATGGAAACATTTTCTTCCATGAAAACGGTATGGTCCCTGATGTTACGATTGTTGGGGACCAATGATTTAGGGTATCTAATGGAAGATATTTCAAACCAGCAAAGCATTTAAGAAATAACTTGGCTGCTTCTAACAGCAGAAAGTCATATGTGTTCCCAAATAGATGATCTGAAATTGGAACTTATATTTAAAAGGGAAGCAGAGAATAAAGGATTGGATAATTTTTAGCCTGACCATGTGGTAGAAAGGAAAAACCCATTTTCTGGGCAAAAATTCAAGCCTGCTGTAGAAATTTTCATAATTAAGGAAAAGCCAAAGATTAATTGCTAAGACAATGGGAAACATGTCTCCAGGGCATGTTAGAGACCTTTGCAGCAGCCCCTCTCATCACAGGCCCCAAAGCCTAGGAGGAAAAATGGTTTCTTGGCCCAGGCCCAGGACCCTATGTTCTATGCAACCTCAGGATATGGTGCCCTGCATCCCAGTCACACCAGCTCTAGCCAGCCATGTCCAAAAGGGACAAAGATACAGCTATGCTCATTGCTTCAGACGGAGCAAAGCCCAAGCCTTTATGACTTCCATGTGGTGTTGGGTCTGCATTTGTAAAGAAGGCAAGAGTTGAGGGTTGAGAACTTCCACCTATATTTCAGAGGATGTACAGAAATGCCTGGATGTCCAGGCAGAAGTCTTCTGCAGTGGTAGAGGACTCATGGAGAACATATTCTAGGGCCATGTGGAGAGGAAATGTCACAGAGTCCCCTCTAGGGCACTGCCTAGTGTACCTGTGAGAAGAGGGCCATCATTCTCCAGACCCCAGAATGGTAGATTCACCAACAGCTTATAGCATGCACATGGAAAAGCTGCAGGCACTCAATGCCAGCCTTTGAAAGCAGCCACAGAGCCACAGGGGCAGTTACACAAGGCCTTGGGAGCCCAAATTTTGCATTAGCATGTGCCCTGCAGAGCCACAGGGGCATAGCTGCTCAACGCCTTGGGAGCCCAATTTTTGCATCAGCGTGACCTGGATGTGAGACATGGAGTCAAAGAAGATTATTTTGGAGCTTTAATATTTAATGACTGCCCTGCTGGGTTTTGGACTTGCCTGGGCCTGTAGCCCCTTTGCTTTGTCCAATTTTTCCCTTTTAGAATGGAAGTATTTACCCAATGCCTGTATTCCCATTGTATGTTAGAAATAACAAACTTGTTTATTTTACAGGCTCATAGGTGCAAAAGTTGTGCCATGTCTCAGATGAGACGTGGACTTAAACTTTTGCGTTAACATGGAATGAGTTAAGACTTTGGAGTAGAGTTGGGAAAGCATGATTGTGTTTTGAAATTGAGGGCATGAGATTTGGAAGGGGCTAGGGGAAGAATGATATGGTTTGTCTCTATGTCCCCAACCAAATCTCAGCTCAAATTATAATCCTTATGTGTTGGGGAGGGACCTGGTGGAAGGTGATTGGATCCTGGGGACAGTTTCCCCCATGCTGATCTCTTCATAGTGAGTGAGTTCTCATGATTTAAAAGTGTGTCGCAGTTCCCCCCCCCCACGCTTTCTCTCTTTTCCACCATATCAAGATGGTGCCTGCTTCCCCTTCACTTTCTGCCATGATTATAAGTTTCCTGAGGTCTCTCAGTCAAACTTTCTGGTAAGCCTTAGGTACTGTGAGTCAATTAAACCTCTTTTTTTTATAAATTACCCAGTCTCAGGTAGTTTTTTTATAGCAGTGTGAGAATGGACTAATACAAATTCCAACACATAGGAAAAAAGAAATCAAATCACTGAGCATGCAGCTGTGTAATATATATTTTTAACATATGATCATTTTGAATGTTGTCTAATCAATGATATACAAGTTGCTTATATTTAGTTGATATTCTGTAATTTGTTGCTATAGGATCATACACATCATAAAAAGAAGGATATGTGTACAATTATATGGATTGGTATGTAATATACATTTGGTCCTTAGAAGACATTTACTGACAGGAAAAATGGGGCATGATGAACAACTTATTTTATCTGCATGGTAAATGCCATATTTCAGGTACAGTTTTGTTACATGGATATATTGTGTAGTGATGAAATCTGGAATTTTACTGTACCCATCACTGAGATAGTGTACACTGTACTCAGCAGGTAACTTTTCATCACTCATCACCCTCAACTTCCTAACTTTTGAAGTATCCCTGGTCAATTATTCCATTTTTAACATTCATGTGTACCTATTGTTTGGTTCCCATTTGTGAGCAAAATGTGGTATTTGTCTTTCTGTTTGAATTATTTCACTTAGAATAATGGCCTTTAGTTCCATCCATGTTGCCACAAAATGCATGATTTCTTTCATTTTTATGACTGAGTAGTGTTCCATGGTATACATATATATTATATATATGTATATATAATACTATATTTTATTTATCCAATCATCTGTTGATGGACACTTAGATTGATTACATGACTTTGTTATTGTAAATTGTGATGCTATAAACATATAGGGGAAGCTGGCTTTTTTGTTTAAATACAATAATTTGTTTCTCTTTGGATAGATATATAGCTCTAGAATTGCTAGATACAGTGGTAGTTCTATATTTATCTCTTTCAGATCTCCATACTCTTTCCATAGAGGTACTAATTTTACATTCCCACCAACAGGATAGAAGTGTTCCCTTTTCTCTTTAACATCTGTTGTTTTTTACTTTTTAATAATAGCTATTCTGACTGGTGTAAGACGGTGTCTCATTAGTATTTAATTTGCATTTCTTTGATTAGCAATGTCAATAACTTTTTCATATTTATTGGCTGCTTCCAGATCTTCTTTTGAAAAATGTCTCTTTATGTCCTTTGCCCTCTTTTTGATGGGGTTATTTTTTATCTTGAGTTTTTCAGTACCTTGTAGATTCTGGATATTAATTCTCTGATGGATGCATAATTTGAAAATGTTTTCTCCCATTCTGTAGGTTTTCTGTTTACTCTATTGATTTAATTCAGTTGCTGTGCAGATGTTTAGTTTAATTAAGTTTCTTTTTGTCTATTTTTTAATTTGTTTTACATTTGTTTGTGAGGTCTTAGCTAGACATTTTTTTGCTTATGCCAATGACCACAGAAGTTTTCCTAGGTTTTCTTTCAGGAGTTTTATAGATTTAGAACTTATAGTTGTCTTTAATCCATGTTGAGTTAACTTTTGTAATGGCGAGAGCTAGAAGTCCAGTTTTAGTCTTTTGAATGTGGCTATACAGTTTTCCCAGCACCATTTATTGAGGAGTGTGTCCTTTCCACTATATATTTTTGTCAAGTTCATCAATGATCAGTTGGTGTAGGTAGGTAACTTTATATTTGGGTTCTCTATTGTGTTCCATTGATTTATGTGTCTTTTTTTGATACCAATACCCTGTTGTTTTGGTTACTATAGCCTTGTAATATATATTGAAGTTGGGTAATGTAATGTTTCCCTCTTTCTTTCTTTTGCATAGTATTGCTTTTCCTACTTGGGACTTTATTTTTTCTTTCATCCTGTATGAACTTCAGAATTGTATTTTCTAATTCTGTGAAAAACAACGTTGGTAATTTGATAGATATTGCATTGAATCTGGAGCTTGCTTTGAGTAGTGTGATCATTTTAAGAATATTGATCAGCTGGGCACAGTGGCTCAAGCCTGTAACCCCAGCACTTTGGGAGGCCAGGCGGGTGGATCACGAGATCAAGAGAGAGAGACCATCGTGGTCAACATGATCAAACCCCGTCTCTACAAAAATTACAAAACATTAGCTGGGCATGGTGGCGCATGCCTGTAATCCCAGCTACTCAGGAGACTGAGGCAGGAGAATTGCCTGAACCCAGGAGGCGGAGGTTGCGGTGAGCCGGATCATGCCATTGCTCTCCAGCCTGGGTAACAAGAGTGAAACTCTGTCTCAAAAAAAAAAAAAATATTGATTCTTCCAGTCAATGAACGTGAGATGGTTTTCTATTTGTTTGTGCCATCCATGATTTCTTTAACCATTATTTTGTGGTTCTCCCTGTAGAGCTCTTTTCTACTCTGAAACTTTGTTAAAGCTATTTATCAAGTCTAGGAGTCTTTTGGAAAGGTCCTTAGATTTTTCTGGGTACAAGATTATATCATCAGCAAACTGCGATAATTTAAGTTATCTTTTCCAATTCACAGGTGTTTTATTTCTTTCTCTTATTTGATCTATCTAGGACTTTCAGAACTGTGTTGAATAAAAGTAGTGAAAATGGACATTTTTGTCATGTTCCAGTTCTTCAGGGGAATGCTTTCAACTCTTCCCTGAACAGTAGGATATTGCTTGTGAGTTTGTCATTGCCTTTATGATTTTGAGGTGTGTCTCTTCCATGCTTAGTTTGAGGGATTTTTTTTTTTACATGAAGTCAGACTGGATTTTATTGAGTCCTTTCTCTGAATTTATTTAGATGATTATATAATTTTGAATTTAATTCTGTTTATGTGGTGAATCACGTGTATTGATTTGCATATGTTGAATCATTCTTACATTCCTTGAATAAAACCCACTTGATTGTGGTGTATTATCTTTTTGAGGTGTTGTTGGATTCGATTTGCTAGTATTTTGTTGAGAATTTTGGAAGCTGTATTCATTGGGAATATTGGCCTATAGTTTGTGTGTGCGCGTGTGTGTGTGTCTTTTCCTGGTTTTGGTATCAGGATGATACTGGCTTTGTAGGGAGTTAGGGAGGTTTCTCTCCTTCTCAATGTCTTTCTACTCTTGAGGTACAAAAAATCATAGATAATACAGTGGTTTCTGAATATCAAAGTTCAATACTGCATGGCAAAATCTTATCTTTGTCAAGATAAATTAAGATTTATCTTGCTAAAGTAAATTTTATCCTTAGGCTGGTGACAATGATAAAAAGATTAATTAGCACTGTTTTGACAAATATATTTTTTAATCTAAAGATTCAAATTTATCAGTTGGTACTTTTTGGTCAATATAAACCCAATGTTATTAAAATGTCCTATATTATCTCATAAATATTTAAGGTTGTACCTGAATTAAGTTTGATTCCACTTAGAATCTCTTTTTGGTATGATGTTCAGTATGATTTTTAAATGTTTTCCATATAAATAACCTATTGGCCCAGTATCTTTATCATATGGTTTCCTTATTCTACTGATTTGTAATGCTAGGCTTGTCATAAATCATTTCTACATTGGAAGGTACATTTCTGGTCTTTCTTTCTTTCTTTTTTTTTTTTTGTTGAGACGGAGTTTCACTCTTGTTACCGAGGTTGGAGTGCAATGACACGATCTTGGCTCACTGCAACCTCCGCCTCCTGGGTTCAGGCAATTCTCCTGCCTCAGCCTCCCGAGTAGCTAAGATTACAGGCATGCACCATCATGCTCAGCTAATGTTTTTGTATTTTTAGTTGAGACGGGGTTTCACCATGTTGACCAGGATGGTCTCGATCTCTTGACCTCGTGATCCACCCACCTCGGCCTCCCAAAGTGCTGCGATTACAGGCATGAGCCACCGCCCCCGGCCCGTTTCTGGTCTTTCCATTTCCTTTTGCTAGTTGGTGTGTCTAACTTTTTACACTACCATATTGTTTTCATTACCATAGCTAAAATAAGAAGGGTAGATACATTTTAGCAAAAAACGTATTCCAACTTTGTCCTTCTGTTCTAATATATATATATTATACCTATATTATATATATACTGTATATTAAGGATTAAAACACTTCATAGTTTATAGTAAGCATGATAAAAATGTGTGTTATATGAACAGAAAAATTCCCCAATCACCACTGTTACTCAATATTGTACTGAAGTACCAGTACAGTCTTACAGTAAGACAAAAAATACTACAGACAGTCCCATTAATATATATAATCCTTATTATATTATATTATATATATAATATATATATTATAACCTATATTATATATATACTCTATATATATATCTATATTATACAGTATATAATATATATATTGTATATATAATTATACATTATATAGAATATATATATATCTAATCTATAGTATATATAGTATATATTAGAAGGAAAAATATATATATATATACATATATCTTGTGATTACTGCTGTTGTATATACATCTTGTGATCAATTTATTAATTGACTTTCACAGAAGACAACAAACATATTGGAATTTTTACTGAGAAAACGTTGACTACATAAATTGCTTTTGGGAGAAATTTTATTTTCATGATATTGAGACTTTCTGTTTAAGATCCTGGGTGTCACTATGTGTTCTTTATAGTCAGCCAGTAAAGTTTTATGAGTTGCCCCATAAAATGCCTGTGCATCATTGTTTTAGATGTGTCCCTTAATACTTTATGCTCTATTTTGCTGTTGAAAAATGGTTTTTCTATGCAGATAATCATACTATCTGCAAATAATGAGAATCTTGCTTATTGAAATTTATATAAGTGAATTTGTGTGTGTGTGAGTATGCGACTGTCTGTAGTATTTTTTGTCTTACTGTAAGACTGTACTGGTACTTCAGTACAATATTGAGTAAGAGTGGTGATTGGGGAATTTTTCTGTTCATATAACACACATTTTTATCATGCTTACTATAAACTATGAAGTGTTTTAATCCTTACAGTTTTAACTAATTTTATTGTCATAAATTCCTTGAGTTGGGCATTATTGTTATGTTGGTATTTAATAGATGAGGAAAATGAAGCATAGAAACTTTACCAAATGGTCTCAAGGTCACTTCATTAATACATGGAAGGATTAAGATTCATGACATCTGACCTGTAAGTCCACTATGTAACAATGCTTCCACTTTTGTGCTTTATCCTTAAGGGAAATTTTTGGTATTATACCTGCTATAATTTTCTTTCGTGTTGTTTTGAGACAGGATCTTGCTATGTCATCCAGGCTGGATTGCAGTGGTGCAATAATAGATCACTGTAACCTTGAACTCCTGGGCTCAAGCAATCCTCTCACATTAGCCTCCTGAGTAAACTAGGACTACAGATGTGTGCCACAACACCAAACTAATTTTTTTTTTTTTTTTTAAATAGAGACAGTGTCTTGCCATGTTGTCCAGGCTACCCTTGAAATTCTGACATCAATTACTCTTCCCACCTTGGCCTCCCAAAGCACTGGGATTACAGACATTAGCCATCATGCCCCACCATGCTGTAAGTTTTTATAGATATAATTTATTAAGACAGAGTTATCATCTATAAATTTAACACATGCTTTTTTCTCTGCATATTGAAACTTATCAAGTACCTTTCCTGCATATATAAAGATAACGACATACTTTTAAAAATATGTTAGTTACATTAATAAATTTTCTAATATTTAATCATTCAGGTATTCCTGAAATAAATGTTATGTGGTTACAATCATTTTAAAACATTGTTGGATTAAGTTTGCTAATAATTTTATAGAATTTAAAAAATATCCATTTATGCATGAGATTAGTCTCTGATTTTCTGTTTTTATGCTCATATGAGATTATGCTAATTTTTATGCATAAAATATAATTGAGAGCATTTTCATTTTTACTATTCCTCAGAAAATTGCTGCATAAAAATTCAAACTTATTTGTTTTTTAAGTATTGATGCTTTTTTTATAGAGCCACCTTGACCTACTGTTTTCTCTGCAGAAGAATTTTGAAAACTGATTTAATCAGTTTAATAATTTGATGACTATTGAAGTTTTCTATTTTTATATCCATTTGAGAAATTATATTTTTCTAGATATTATGTAATTCAATTTTTTAAATAGCTTAAAATTGTTAGCATATTTTCTTATTTTCTACTTATTTTAATCAACATATGGAGCTATTTTTTTCTTTACATCTTAATTTGTGTTTTCCTCATTTTTAATTTTTTTCTTAGAGCTTTGACTGTTTAGTTTCTTCAGGGAATCCACTGTTAACTTTTTGATATTTTAACTATCTTTATTGTATAATTATTGATTTTATAATTAGATTGATTTGTGATTAAATATTATATCTTTTCTTTTACATCTTTTCTTTTACCTCTTTTCTCATTCGTCGTACTGCATCCTCTAGATTTGGATGCATTTTGTTTTTATTGAATTTATGTCTAGAAATTCCCTTCTCCCACTTTAGAAACATCCACACATTTCAATATGTGTATTTCATTTTTATTTATTTCTATTGTAAAATTCTTATTATACTTGCTTTTTGTATTGATGTTTTGATTAGAATTATGTTTTTAAATTAAACATGTATTTTATATTATGTTGTTTGAAGATATTTGGAAGAAATATTTTTCCAGTCTATCAAAGCCAAGAATAAGACCAATAGCTTTCTTTACTTTCTCCTTTGGATATCCCAAGTTTATGCAGCAGTTTCTAATTAGGCTTCTCACCCTGGGAAGGTCCTGTGTTCTCTCTTGTTCTCAAATCCTGTGTAGCTATCCCAGAAGATATTCTGTTACTTCACAATTTGGCTCAAGTCTTTAGGATGAAAGCTTGCTTTTGTGCCTTCCTATTTCTCTGGAGTATTTTTTTTCTCCTCATTTCATTCTCTGCAGATTTTTCAGTTGTTCTACATTAGGAGTGTATATTATTTTAAAATGTTCTACAATAGTGCTGGTTATTGAGTTTGCCATGTTGCTTAAAGATGACTCTAAACAAAATTAGATTTATTAATATGTTATCAGTATTTATAATAAACAAAACACACTTTAAATCTCTTTATTAGAAATATGTCTACGGTAAGAAATCATACATCATCTCCTGGCACACAGGTTCAGTAACACCTGCTAATTTTCCTTAAATTTAGTGGCTTCTTTAAAAACCAACTTTAGATTGTTGGGAAAAAAGTATGCCCTCAATTGATAACTACATTTATGCAGAATGGACTTCTATTCCGGATGAACTCCTTGCTAACAATGGAATTTCATTTGTTTTTATAGAAATCTAATAGATTCTCTTTAACAATATCATATATTTACTGTTTTAGTTAACAGTATGTCCATATTAGATCAAAAACAAATCGATGTATTTATTTTTGCAAAAAGAAACAGAGATGTACCAAAAATAATGAAATGGGCTATCTCTGGAGGACAGAGGAAGGAATAGGTGGAAGAGATAGAGCTGAGGAAGCTGGACTTTTCAAAGCATAACTTTTTATATAGTTTTGACTTAAAAAGAAACTTTTAACTTTGGAATTATAGACTGATACCAGGTGTGGTGGCATATGCCTGTGATCCCAGCACCTTGGGAGGTCAAGGTGGTCAGATCACTTGAACTCAGGATTTCGAGACCAGCCTAGGCAACATGGCAAAATCCCATCTCTACAAAAAATACAAAAATTAGCTGGGCGTAGTGTTGTGTGCCCGTAGTCTCGGTTATGTGGAGGACTGAGGTGAGAGGATCCCTTAAAACAGGGAGGTTGGCTGCAATGGAGTGCACTACACTCCAGCCTGGGCAACAGAGTGACACCCTGTCTCAAAACAAACAGCAAAAATGTGACTTGCAAAATAAAGCATTGGAGTTACTGCTCTCTTAGTACAAATATATATATATATATATATATATATATATATATATATATATATGGTCAACCTATGTAGTTCATATTCATTTACTTTAAATTTTTTTGTTTTGGCTTCGGGGCCTATGAGAGTTCTTTGTTCTACCTCCAACAACACAAAAATGCATTTCCAAACAGGATTTTTCCTTGGTTGTCCCAAATCTTTGGAAAACTTTTATTACTGACCTAGTTCTAATGCATATTCCTATCTGAGACTGGTGTAAAAAATTTTTACATGTAGACTTCTTTGAGTTGAAAATGTTCTCTGTGATATAAAGGGTACCTATCGTCTTTTAGTTTGTTTTTTAATAAAAAGCATCAAATGAAGGGGAACTATAAGAATAATTTAGTTTATGAATTGTATTTCCTTTAATAGCATCTTCAGTTTCTTTTTAAATATATGTATCAGAGTAAGTACAATTTAATGGCATTTTTAAAACTATGCTTCAATATCCTGATCTCTGGGTTGTTAAAGGGTGTTATGTAACATCGTTCTTCATGATAAAGTAATTTTGGGAACTACTGGATTAAACAAAATTAAACAGGTCACTTTACTACAAGACTTCACTTACACTTTAATATTTTAACACACATTCTAAAATTTTAAGAAGGAAACATTTGACTTTATTTGATCAAAGACACTTACTTTTACCTTAGAGTAACATACTTATGTCTCAAAGTAACAAAACATTATTTGGTTTCTAGTTTACCTGTAGGATTCTCAACTTGTAGGTTGAAGTGAAGGAGGGGGGTAGAAATATAGAAACAATTACAAATAGCAAAAGCAATAAGTATAAATAGTTTTTAAAAACATTTAATCAAATACAGATATAAAGAATATAAATAATAGTCATAATCAAGATAATTTTCATAGTGGGTCCTATTATTGCAAACTAGTATTAAGGATTGCAGTGTCTGGATTGACCGAAGAGAAACTTGAAGTGCTGGATTTCTATGAGCCTGAGACACTGACCAGGAGCAACTACACTGTAGCAATAAGATAGCCAAAGAAAGACACTGTGAGTGTGAATATGAAAGATGTTTTAAATAGGGTAGCAGATATTTTTTAATGGGGGTAGGTGGCTCATTTAGGCCTAAAAATAGTGACTGTGTAACTCTTTAATTGATAGTGCAAACAAGGATATTTAAGAATATGAAAGGAGAGCTATTAATAACTATGTCAGTCTTTTTGATAAAAGCTGTTCTAACAGGTGTGAGGTGATATCTTATGTGTTTTTGTTTTTGTTTGAGACGGAGTTTCATTCTGTCACCAGGCTGCAGTGCAGGAGTGCTATCTCAGCTCACTGCCACCTCCGCCTCCTGGGTTAAAGTGATTCTCTTTCTTCAGCCTCCTAAGTAGCTCGGACTACAAGCACCCACCAACCATGCCTGGCTAATGTTTTTGTATTTTTAGTGGAGATGGGGTTTCACCACATTTGCCAGGCTGGTCTTGAAAGCCTGATGACTGCCATATGATTCAGCTAGTGGGTATGTATCCACATAAATAAAATTGCTATATTGATAAAATATCTGTACTCCCACATTCATTGAAGTAGTATGCACAGTAGTGAAAAAGTGGAAACAACCTAAATGTTCATCGCCAAGTAAATGGATTAAAAATACATGGCATATATAAGCAGCAGAATCTTATTCAGCCTTAAAAAAGAAGGAAATTATGCTATTTGTGATAAGATAGATGAATCTGGAGAACATTATAAAAAATAAAATAAACCAGACACAAAAAGAAAAATACTGCATGATCTGACTTATATGTGGAATCTGAAAAAGTTAAACTCAGAAAAACTATAGAATGGTAGTTACCAGAAGAAAGTGGAGATGGGGAGATGTCAAGAATACAAAATTTTAGTTTTACAGAGAAATAAGTTCAAGAGATTTATTGTATATTATAATGTCTATACTTAATAACAATATATTATATATTTAAATTGCTAAGACAGCAGATAAAAAACAATTATGTCAAGGTAACAGGCAAAAATGAAACTCTTCTTGCAAACTTGGGGATTTCCTTGGAAATAGGTTTCAAAAGGAAACTTTAGAAGAAAATCGGAATATAGCAATGTTGTAAATTTTAATTGATTTTGTTGTTGTTGGAAAACTCCGAGAAAATATGGCTTCAATAAGAGCTGTGTTTAGCATATCAAGATTTCAGAGGTAACTGTAAGGTTGGAAAGTGTTCAGAATGTGTCACCCCAAAGTATGATGTTCTGGCATATTAACTATTAGAAAAATTAAAGATGTAAGAAGAACATTCTGATTTCGCTTTTCTTCGTATTAGAAGGGTTGAAGTTCTCATGTGAGAGCTTCCCTATCCATACAAGGAGAAAAGCAGCATACTTACCAAGGACAGTGAGTTGAGACCAAGATAATTCTGTATAAAGAAACATTGTTAAAACATTGATAAAAAATGATCATTTTTATCATCCTTTAGCCACCCAATATATTTTAGTTTCCACAGTTGCTTTTCTTGGTTCAATTTAGTATAAAAGCATTTCAGTTTGTCCAGATTTGATGGTATTTATTTTCCATTCAAAGCACCAGGTAGATGTAAAAATCCATGTACTTATCACTGATTTGTCTATTTTATGCCAAATTAATTCTCAGGTTCATCTGGAGAACAGAAGAGAGCAGAAGTAAAACTTGTCCCCCCTGAAACTCCTCAGAATTGTCAGATTTAGGTTTTTGATTGAAGAAAAAAAATGAAGATGACCTTGGGAATGGCAATAATTGTTTAAATAAAAGGCACAATGCATGAAAGAAATAACTGATAGCTGGAATTCATTAGAATTGAAACTTCACAGACTGGAAGAAAATATTTATAAAAGACACATCTAATAAGGGTCTGTTTCCCAAGACATACAATTATTAAAACTCAAGAATAGAAAAGAAACAACTCAACAAACAGACCAATAACCTTACCAGACAGAAAATGTACAGACAGGAAAAAGGCATAGATGTACACATCCTATATCGTCAGGAAAATGCAAATTAAAACAATGAGATGTCACTCTACACCTATTAGAGTGACCAAGATCCAGAGCACTGACACCACCAAATATTGGTGAGAATGTGGAGCAAACAGTACCTTTCATTCATTGCTGGCGGGAATGCAAAGTGGTATAGCCACTTTGGCAGCGAGTTTGGTGATTATTTTGCAAAAGTAAATACACTCTTTCTATATGATACAGTAGTCAAGCTCCTTTGTTTTTAGACGAAAGAGTGAAAAAATTATATCCTCACAAATACCTGCACATATTTGTTTGTATCAGCTTTATTCATAGTGACCAAAACTTGGAAGTACCACGATGTTATTCAGTAGGTATGTAAATACACTATGCTAAATCCAGACAATGGGATGTTATTCAGCACTAAATGCTAAAAATTTTCAGCACTTTTGTGGCTACTAAGCCATTACGTGAAGGAAATATAAATGCACCCACCACTAAGTAAAATAAGCTAATCTTGAAAGGTTACATCATATATTATTCCAATTACATGCCATTCTGGAAAAGGCAAAACTATGGAGACAGTGAAAAGATCTGTGGTTGCCAGGGATTAGGCGAGAGGATTGAAAAGACAAATCATATAGGATTTTTACCGTAGTGAGAATACTATATATATTACTGTGATTATGGTTATATGCCTGTATACCTTTGCCCAAACCTATAGAATGTACAACATTGAGTGCACCCTAATGCAAATCATGGACTTGAGTGACTATGTTGTATCAATGTAGGTTCATCAATGATAACAAATGTACCACTCTGGTAGGGGATAATGATAATGGGAGACATTATACATGTGTGGGGGTAGGGAGGACGTGGGAACTCTCTGAGCTTTATTCTAAATTCTGCTGTGAACTTCCAACTGTCCTTAAATAGTCTGTAAGCATGATCACAACAAAAAACATATAAGTGTAAACATAAAAGCAAAACCAAATCAAATACATACGTATATAGGCATACTCCATTAGCCCACTACATGTGTGCCCTATTGGAAAAGGGGGAGTTGTGAAATAAAGATAGAAACTGGGTTATTTACTAACTGTGTTTGCATTATTTCCATTCCAATCTCCTCCAGTATCCTATAGAAATTTGCTTACTTATGTCATTTACACAAGAAATACATTTGCACATACTTTAATTTCAGAGCAGTATATTTATCTATAATTATCTTATTTTGTTTTATGCTTCCATTATATGGCCTGTGGATTTATGATTTAGGACTTTTTCTGATATTTATCAAGACTCTTCAACGAACTTTGTATGAGCTACACAATTTATTCCTCTAATTCAATCTGTAAAAAATACAATAAAGTGTAAGGGGAGGCGTGTGAGGAAGAGAGGCAGATAGCATGAATGATGTCTCATTTTTCTGACAAAGAATATAACAAGGATGGAAAAATGATACACCGTGAATTCATTGTGGTGACAAAGATTGTAATGAGAATTGGTATGAACATAACCAACTGCATTCTCATTACTCTGTGCGGATTGTAATCTTCTCATCCTCCTCAGAGGCTGCACCCATCCTCCACTGACTGATGAGTCTTCTATGCTGTTCTACTTTAATTTGCTCTAAAAATATTTTTGATATAAATGGGCCATTAGGAAAAGCAAGTAATGAAAATTTGAAAATTGATGTTTGAGTTCTAATTCCAGTGACTGGTCAAGAGGAGATTTTATTTGCTATTATAAAATTATATTAGTTGGCAGGTTAATAAATGGCAGAGTTTCAATCAAAAACTGTCTTTTTCCCTGCCAAATAAAGTCTGATGATTGTTGTGTTTGCAGCACAAGAAGTAGATAGGAGGTTGGATAAGATAAACAAGTTTATAAAAAACAAGAGTTCCAGACACTTTTTAAAAAGTATATCATGATAGTCCATTCTAATAAAAGTATGTTAAATTATATAATAACCTAAAATATTGAAATTATAAAATTTTGATAAATGATAACTTTAAGTTATTGACCTATATAATAATATATGCCATAAGCTAACTGTAGAATAAAATAGAAACATGGTCAAGTTAGTTTCTACAAAAAGATGTGGCATAGAGGGTGTTACTCAGTTCTAAAATTTTTTGAAATACACTCTTGACTTAAAAAATAAAACTGTAATTATGACAATATCTTCATTAACTAATAACATAATAGAAATTATACCAAACATATTTTAGAATAAAATACTATAAGCATTACCAGGGTAGAAGCAAAGCTTTTATATGTTATCCAGCACTGTCCTAAAGTCCAACTCTTGAGATAAATCAAGGAAAATACAGAAAGTGATGCTAGAAATGCAATCATAGATATAGATGTACTTCAAGGCAACTTATTTTTGACGCAGAAAATCAGAATAAACTGGAATAGTACTTACGCTTCAGAGATTTGTTCACTTATAGATAAATAGTGATACATATTTCCTAAATTTTAGTAATAACTAAATAAAATATAATATTCACAATGTCAACAAAACTATAAGACATATAAAATAATAACAAATTATACAAAATATTATAAGGTGTCACTGGGAAATACAAATCTTGAATGAAATTAACATGTCATATTTTCCAGCTAAAAAATTTGATTAATAGTTCTATAGAATACTACAACAACTTGACAAATCATTTCTATACCTCACATGGTAGAACGAATTATGGAAAGCAGCTAATACTATTCTAGAAACCACCTGATTTACTAGATATGAATTTGTACTTGGAAACAACAGTGACTGAAAGGAGATATTATTTAGTATAGAAATAAACTGATCTCAAATAGACTGATAAATTAGATCTGAATATAGATTCTGCATATATGAATGTTTGATATATCATAAAACTTATGTTTCAGAGCTGTAGAAATATAATTAGTTCTTCAATAAATTGCTTTAATGCAATTTGGTATCCATATGGAAAATGTCATAAAATATTCATATGTTTTATTAATCTTAATACATTTCAGATGTATGTTCAATCTAAATATAAGATTTAAAATTATGAACGAGCAAGAATAAAATATAAAATAATATATTTTAAAATAATAAGTTAGGATATTAAAGCTGAATCTTTTGTATGTCAAAAGACATTGTTGATAAGAGGACAAAAATTGGAAAATACAAAATAATACCATATTTACCACGAAACAATTTGGCAGAAGCTTCTACATATTTAAAGCTCTATAATATATATTTAAGTGGATGGGAGATATTAAAAAGAAATGGCAAATATGTAAGTAATTATTCCATTTTTGTGAAATATATAGTACCATGTGCAATTGATATATACAAAGTAGATAATGTATTATATATATTTTTAGGTTTAGGAGCAAGGATTTTATAATTTTTTTAAAAACTACATGGAAGAAAACTGTAAGAAGTATTACCCATTCTCTTGGATCTCATCATGCCACTTCCCAGCTAAAATTTTGATTTTTTGCTTTACCTACAAGATCTCAAATATCTTGGTATAACTCGAAAAACCGTTAATCTTTGGACCATATTACTGCCAATTACCTTATGCCCCTTCAACATGTGTCTATTCTGTTGGATAAAGTCACCATGGAAGTTAATGCTCCATGACTCTGCTGCTGTTATTCCCTCTGCCTGGATTTATCTAACTTTCTGCCTTATATGCAAATACCTTTAGCATTCAAAGTCATTTCAAATATCACCAAGACTCTCAAACAGAATTAACAGACCATGAGGCAAATCATATAGCATATCATATGTGCTTTCATCTGTAAATGGAGTATTATATAATGTAATACCCATAAATACATATAATAGTTTCTAACATACAGCAGCCACACAATAAATGTAACTTATCAGTAGCTATCCTTCCTTGTGCTTCTGTAACACTTACTATTTCATAGTTGAAATTGTATTTAATTATTTTCTATCTTCTATTGTGTCATAAGCAAACTTTGGGACTTATACAAAGCCTTCTATATTATGTGCCCTCATATAAAGAAGACTTCTACACTATGTGCCCTCACATAAAATGTTTATGCTTTATATAAAGTATATAAGACATACATGTTTATACTTTATATAAAGTACATATACTTTTTTATATAAGTATAGATATTTTATATACTTTATAAAATTGAATTGAATAAACAGATTGAATTGAAAAAAAGTTGACTGAATAAACAGAACATCATAGGTAACATGAGTTTTTATATTAACAAAACATTGGTGGGAAATCTATTAATAGTAAAAAATAAAATTATATTTTGTGTATTAATATTTTATGATAGTAGGACAAGTTACAGAAAGGTATTCTTCCTTGGGAAGAGAAGGTTGTTGATTATTTATCATTTAACTACATAAGTGAAGAACTTAATGTTTTTAACATGGACAGATCTCCATGTGGTGATATTCTTTCCAGGTGTGCATAAGCATCAGGTACCTAGTCTTTCATCAAAAGATGTCAACCCTATTCGTTGTTGATGTGACAGTATAAGAATATGGCCCTGTATTTGACAATCAATATGAAAATGCCTACTCAAGAGGTATTTTTTTCCTAAGAAAAACTCTCAAATTTACTTATGTGTACTAAATCATACTTGCTATGCTAAGAATGTGTTCCCTTTAAAATACGGGTGTTGCCAATGTGACAGTATTATTAAGCAGTGGGGCCTTTATGAGTTATTAGACCATCAGGGCTCCTCCCTTGTGAATGGGATTAAGATCCTTACGGTAGTGGCTTCATGCAGTGCTAGGCTATTTTGCCTTTTTGTCTTCCATCATATGCGACCACAGTGTTCCTCCCCTTCAGAGGATGCAGACCTCACCTGACAACGGAGCCTGCTGAAACCTTGATGTTGGACTTCTCACTCTCCAGAACTGTGAGAAAATAAATCTGTTCTTTATAAAGTAACTGATCTTAGGTAGTTTGTTATAACAGCACAAAATCGACTAAGATGCTTGTATACCACACTTATGTATGATAAAAGCTAATAAACAATGAGTTATATCAAATTGGTAAATAGTTCTTTAATACCCTATAATATATCTATTCTTGGATTGAGTTTTAAAATCACATGGCTGTAAAGCAAAACCAAAATCTTTTGTCCTTGGGACCTTTTACTTCTCTTCTTTCCCTTCAGAACTCAATTGCTTTTAATAAATTGTGTTTTGGCACATAATGCATCATCCTGCACTGAGATGTGAAAAAAGAAGCTGCCCTGTGTTTCTCCTTACTGTACTCACTGTGAGGATCTTTTTGAGGATATTCATAACACTCATGTTAATTACTTTTAAGTTTTCTGAGAATACAAGGAAGTTATTTCTTAGGACCCAGGGCATGGGAATCACCATGCTTCACCTGAGTAGCTAGTGTATCTATAATTTTATGTATAGTTTAAATCAATAAACTATATAACTTTTATAACAATTAAGAAAGAGGAGACAAATTTTTGATCCATTTGAAGGATTATGAAAAACACTTTTTGTCTATAATTATATATTATTATGTAAAATATTTTGTTTATTTACTTATTTTAATATAGGGTCTCACTCCAGGCTGGAGTGCAGTGCAGTGCTTCATGGCTCACCACAGCCTTCACCTCTCAGATTGAGGTGATCCTCCCCCCACCCCCACAGCCTCCCAAGTAGCTGGGACTCTGTATGCCACCATGTCTGGCTAATTTTCCTATTATTTTGTAGAGACAGTGTTTTGCCATAGTGCCCAGTCTGGTCTTGAACTGTTGGCCTCAAGTAATCCTCCTACCTCAGCCTCCCAAGGTGCTGGGATTTTAGGAATGAACTTGGTTTATCTTTTAATACATTTGTTTTAACTGTTTTACTTGAAGAAATTTTTTTGTTATAGTTGTGAACCCCAAAAATATGAGACAGGTCTCAGTTAATTTAGAGAGTGTATTTTGCCAAAGTTGAGGACACTCCCACATGACACAGCCTCAGGATGTTCTGATGACATGTGGCACAGTTTAGTTTTAGGGAGAAATGAGACATCAATCAATATATGTAAGAAATAGCTTGGTTGGATTTGTAAAGGTGGGACAACTTGAAGCAAATGCCAGAAG